AAGTCTGACCTTAGATAGGGATTTTCATATTAGAGCCCTTCTGTGAGTAGTATTAAGTACTGTAGCACTCCTGAATTAAAATGGTATTTTTTGAGGATGTTTTAATTTCTATCATTTTTATTACTTTGGAGACATAGATGATCAGATCTATCCTCAATGGACGGCCCAACTAGCAACAGGTCTCTAGCACACATGACATCTGTACCAGGGATTGAGAGATCCCTGCCTATCCAGCCCATCCTGAGTTGATTGTACTCCTGCATTATCTGTGGTCTTCCCTTTTGCCTTATTTCAGTTAGTTTTCCACCTAATAAAGAAACTAGATCAGGAAAACAAAAATAAAATGTATCTGAGATCTTCATAAGCATCTTAGTGTGATTAATGCATCTGTTATAGAAAAGTAAAGCTTTCTTACTACACTGCTATTTGTATTACCTCTGTTATGTGTATTCTAATAGTATTGTATAATTACCTATTACAGTATTTGTATTACCTTTCACCAGTTGCTGAGCACTTGTTATGAGCCACACATTATTTCATTTCATTCTCACAAGCTTTATGAGGGTATATATTTGTCAAAATTGAATTCTTCCTTGGATATTCTGTTTGGATGTGAGCCTGATATAAAATATAAAAGGAACATATGGGAGCTGTGTTTTTAAAAGATTGCAAATGCCAGTTCCCTCAGTATAAAAAATAGAATATATTGCTGAAATTCCTAAGTAGGATTTAACTGGTCGATCGCATTAAAGTTTGCATTAAATCTATTCCTAAGATGGATTTTTCAGACTTGGTGATGGGTGAGAGGGAATTATCCTTTAATATGTAGAGATTACAATATTTATGTGTTCATAGGGTAATGAGTTCTCAAGTGAAGATGTCCCAGGTGTTCCCTTCTATCAGCTAGGACCAGAATGTCCTGAAGGGTCATCTGATAACTGTCTCCTGCCTTCTGGTAGTTAAAACATCTAGGCCAGGTCTTCTCAACACACCAGATGCATCATCCTCTTTTAGTCACATATATTTATGTAACATTACCTTGGATTTCATAAATATAACTTATCTACTTCTATAATTTAAAAATAGTCAATAGAAGGCACATAGTAATAGAATATATGTCTCATATGTGAATGCATATGCCTGATGACACTAGAAGAATGGAGGTATTCATATGTTTGCATATATACGTAAAATTACTTCAAATGCTACAAATGTAGCCATAAGGCTGAAACACAGAGACTGAGATACCATGAGCAGCATTTCGGTTGGCAAGATGACTTTACCAAGAGTTTACAATTTGGCAAAGTTCCAAATTAAGCCAGGTACAGTCTTAGATTAGTGACTGAGTGGTTGCATGTCTGGTATATTAGTGTATATCAAAGCTGTAAAAAGTATCTTGTGTTTGTGAAAAAGAGGTTCTAGGCTCAGATATCTCATTCAAAGCAACTTTTTTTTACTTACGTGAATTTCTGTCATAACATTAGAAAGTCATGTAAGATATGGGATAATTGTATGTATATCTGTTCCCCAGAGTTTTAGCATCCCTAGACCTTAGTCAGTACTAGTTGCACCCCAGTATACAAACACACATTGTTGTAACAACCCAGATCTCCCCACAAATTTCCAAAACAGCTCCTAAAGTAAAGTAACAATTTTGCCAAAAGCACTGATTTAGACTAAGGTTAGGGCAGGTCAGCCATCTGTTTTTGTGAAGTTTTATTGGAACACAGCCATGCCTCTTTGTATACATATCATCTATGGCTGCTTTCATATAAAAAAAGCAAGGGTTGAGTAGTTGTAAGAGATTTTTTGGCCTTCAAACACTAAAATATTTATCATCTGTCCTTTTAAGAAAAAATTTGCCAACCCCTAATCTAAACCGTCTATACTATTGCAGCCTATATTTTATCACAGTGGAGTTGAGTAGTAAACCAAGATGACTCAGGCAGAAATACTGTTTTTCTAAATTATCTTGATAATTTATTTACATTTGTATTGTTTTACCTCACAGCAGAAATAGAGTTACTAGAAACACAGATAGATAAAGCAAGGATTTTTTACTACTATTTATAAGGATACATGGGTAGTAACAAATAGAAATGTTTATAATATAATGTAGGAGGAAATATCCCTTCTTAATTTGTCTAACTTGGCTATTTAAAAAGTTCATAGATGTTTCTTATTTAGGAAATGGAAAGTATGTTAAGTGTAAAAGAAATTTTGGTGGTTATATTTAGAAATAAAATTTTTACCTCCCGCGATTTTTACTTGAACATTCTGCTAAACTATAGCCCTCAGTTTTCTTTATCTATAAAGTGAATAAAATAATACCAATATTTTAGGATTATTCTGAAGAATGGATGAAGTATGGTTGTGTAAAATACATAGTCTCTATGGGTCATAGAACAAATGTACAATAAATGATGATGGCCAACAGCTGGAGGACAGATTGGATGCTTTGCCATTTTATTAATTTGAAAATACCTTGTTACTACCAAGTGATATTTATTATAAAATAAAGTTAAAATAATCAGAAAAGTATAAAGAAAACGGTAAAATTTTAAAGAATATCCTTCCAGATATCTCTGCATTTATATACCTAGAGATATACATACAAAACTTGACCCCCAAAGAATGGAGCCTGTCACTTAATGTTCTTGCTTACTGTAGGTCTTGAAAGTTTTGTGAAGGTCAGAATATTCTACTCTAAGAGAGTAATGACCATCTTAGATATTTCTCTTAGTAATTGGGTTGTTTTTTTTATTTAATTGTTCCAGATGGAGTTTTGATGAAACAGTGACTCATTTTATCTATCAAGGCCGACCAAATGACACTAACCGAGAATATAAATCTGTAAAAGGAAAAGGAGTACATGTTGTTTCAGAGCACTGGCTTTTAGAAGTAAGCAATACTTTTTTCCCTCCCCACTCTGTTAAATGAAAATATATATAAACATCATTTCAAGGTACAAACCAGTTTCCAGGTATATAAACAATTCTGGTAACTTAAGTTCACTGTGCACATTTCGTTTCTTTGTCATCAAAACTTACAGTCTTTAGTCCTTAAATACTTAATAAGTCCTTAGTGGGTATTCTTTCTGATACTCTCATTCTTTTCACTAAAAAAAAAATGATATGAAAGAAAATTTTATAATAATTGAAGAATTAATTTAGCATACCAGTACAGTTCAGAACTGTGTCTTTTCCTTTCCCTTTCCTTTTCTTTCACTCTTCTCATTTATTCTCTTTCCTTTTCTTTCTGGATATTCTCTGGAGTGTGGTTGATACTTTGAAAAGCATAGAAATAGAATGCGATTTTATACTTTAGTGAACATGACCATAAAAATTGAGGACAATTTTTAATTGCCATTTGTATAATGTATTTTTCCATGTCAGCTACTTTTCGCAACTTTAATTTTGCCAACTTCTGTCATCTTAAGACATAATGTATAGGTTGTTCTTATCCTGATTAACATCATTTATTCACTAAGATTTTTTTCAATCCTGTTTTAAAACACATCATTGTATTGCAGTGTGCCCAAGAGCATAAACATCTTCCTGAATCTCTTTATCCGCATACTTACAATCCCAAAATGAGCTTGGATATCAGTGCAGTACAAGATGGCAAACTCTGTCACAATCGTCTACTCTCAGCCGACTCAGCAACGAAGGGTGAAGAGGTAGATAATGGACAGTTAAACTTCCCATCCTTATGCCAACTGTATCATTATATATTGCTTATACAGTGGTTTGCTTTGAGAAATTGTAATTTTTCTCCTTCAATAGCCAGATCATTTGCCTGTAGAAGAAAATGACATAGGCAATATGACCTCCAGTAATAAAGAAACAGCAACATCAAATGGAAATGGAAGGAGTAACTTTAAAGGAGGTAAAATATTTTAAATTATTTAAAAAATTTTTGTAGATACGCATCTTTCATATAGAATGTGTCCTGCATCTGATAGAAAAATACATTTTCTGTATTGCTTAATACAAGTAAAGCCTATATTTAAGGATTGAATTGAAGTTCTGTGCCAGTTGTTAAGACATAATTTGCAAAGCTTTATGTGAGTTAAGTGAAATTTGTGGACCTATGTTTTGCAGAATTAGTGTAATACAGCCCTATTCTATTAAAGATAGGTGGAGTTGATGGGTTTTTTTTTAATATACTATTTTGTTCAGTTATTTTCAAAAAGTTTTATTATATGTACAATATATTTTAGCATTCACAGTGTTTTAAGGGTATAGAGGGAGGTATGAAGAGTTTCTCCCACCTTTCCAAAGTTGTTAGCTTCTTATGTATCCTTCTAGAGCTGTTCATTGCATATATGATCATAAATATGTGTTTGCCTTTCCTCATTTTTTAAAAAATACATAAGTGGTAGACTATTCTTTATGCTGTCTGTACTTTGTCTTATCTTTTTGTGTAACAGTTCAACTTCTGAGTGTTTCATACTGGAGCTTCCTTGCTCTTTTTCTTTTTTTAGCAACTGTATACTGTTCATTGTTGGTTGACCCACTTTATTTAGCCAGTCCCTTGTTGATGATCATCTAGGTTATTTCTGATTTCTGGCTGTTATAAAAACTGCTGTAGTGAATAACCATACATCTACAGAACTCCTTTTTTTGATTAATATTTTTTGTTTTTCTTACTTATCGTACCCTACCAGAGCTTTCCCTATGACTTACCTATTTAGTTAGTCCTACTCTGTTCATTCGAAAAACAAGTCATCTATTTAGTCTGCAGGAAGCCAAAGAGAAATAAATATATTGTGGTCTGTGTTGTCAAGGACCATAGCGGGGAATAACATTCATCTCAGAGTATAGTACATACCAGGAGAAGGGTCAGAAGGAGCCAGGGGCTCTACAAAAGGGATAATAACAGCAGGTCTTAGCAGAGTACCTTCTAAGGACTCCCTGATTATTTCATATCCAGTCCTCATTGTAACAGTTGCCTTTATGTTCTGCAGTAACTAATCATAGTCTTAGTACATTCCTATAGCCTGTAATAAGTATCAGTAAATGTCAGCTTAATAAATTTGGGTTCAACCAAATCTAGACAAAACAGTTAATATGAATGAGATGTGGTTTAAAAAAAAAAATCTTGATTGGTGTGTGTTTGTGTTTGTTTGAAGCTCTGACACAGACACTGGAAATGAGAGAGAACTTCCAAAAGCAGCTGCAGGAGATAATGTCCGCGACATCTATAGTGAAACCCCAGGGGCAAAGGACTTCTCTTTCAAGAAGTGGTTGTAACAGTGCTTCTTCAACCCCTGACAGCACTCGCTCAGCCCGCAGTGGACGGAGTAGAGTCCTAGAGGCCCTGAGGTACACACCCATTGCTGTGGGCAGAACGGAGTGACTAGATGGCTTGGGAGAAAGTAGCTCTTTATTTAGGTTCCTGCTGATTCAGTCCCATGAGTTAAACCTCTTTTTAAAGTCACTTTATGAACTTTATGAACTACAAATTTATAATTTTATGAAATTTATGAGTGTGGATTTTGTTACGGCTATTTATCAAAATTGTCACTTTTATTCCTTAGGCAATCTCGTCAGTAAAGCAGAAGTTTAAAAAAGCAAAACCAGTAAAAGGGTTATACTGCTGGGCCTTATTTAGCCCAAACTGTGTATGTTATATTCAGATATGACCTGTTGGTTGTGGCCCTTTGCTAACTAGCTTTTTCTTCCTCCCTTCCCTCCCAGCTTTTCCTTCCCCCTCCCTCATTCCAAGACATTGTAGAATTCTTGGGGACAGGAAGCAGGAACCGAGGTTTAACTGCTTCATAGGGTGCAGGATTAATATTTTTTATTACCTCTGCTGAGAAAGGAATGAGTTTAAGATCCAGTTTGCCTCATTTGAAATAGACTCAGTGGGCTGTCCTCTCTGTTCTGTTGTATTAGTATTAAATAATATTAGTATTAAACATGAACATACTGTGTAAGTTTAAACATTTAAACATATGTGACTATATGTATTTTATAAACTGATTTTCTAAGAAAGGTGATTACAGGTCTTAGTGTAATGTGACATGTTTAGTAGCATAACATCTTTGATAGAAAAATCTTGAATTGTATAATGATATTGTAGGACTTGTATCTGGAATTGACAGTTGAACTATGAATTTATCTTATTAACTATATATTTCATGTTGCAAATTCTTTATCTGAGTATTGTGTATTTGGGTAAATGTGGCTTTTTGTTTAATGTAATTAAGGTCATGTTTTATTATTATAGAGAGCTTAAATCTTGTGTTATGTCAGAGTGAACAAATATACTCTGAGAATAAAAGGCTATCTTCCTTGTATTTGAGGCAAATGAACTCCTTGAAGGTACCATCAGCTTTGGTAAATTATTTTTACTAAGATTCCATATACACACACACACACACACATTGAAAGAGCCAATATGTACATTGAAGGAAAATAGCTGAAATTCTGTTTACTCTCAAATGGAATTGTTACAATTACACCATAAAACACACTTCATTCTAGTGTAGTATAAGACTTTAGTTTAGTATAAGGCTTGTCTACTCGAAACTCTGGGAGGTTTGGTTACCAATGCCAGAAGGACCTGCTTTTAAGGCAGCCTTTACAGTACACTTCCCATGGAATTAATAGCTCTTATTATTTCAAGTGATAGAAAAACAACTACTGGTAAGCAAAGTAACCAGTTTTCTAAACATTGCCATGTTTCACTAAGCCTGTATAATTAAGAGAAATCCCATTTTTAAATGCAGTAATCATTTTAGGATTTTTAAACAATTTCTTGACAGTAAATCTTGCCCTTTGAAGTTTTAAGTATGTGGACATTCAGTCAAAATATGTGTTTCATTTTCTAGCTAGAACAGATAAGTTTCTACCAGAAACATTTAAAAAAGATCCCAAAGTTCATTTAGTCAATAAATGTTCTCAAATGCTTACTGTGTGCTTTTGTGGGCATATAAAGGTGAACTACAAATTTATAATTTTATGAAATTTATGAGTGTGGATTTTGTTATGGCTATTTATCAAAATTGTCACTTTTATTCCTTAGGCAATCTCGTCAAATAGTACCTGATATCAACACAGAGCCCTCCCAAAATGAACAAATCATTTGGGATGACCCTACAGCCAGGGAGGAGAGAGCAAGGCTTGCCAGCAATTTGCAGTGGCCTAGTTGTCCCACCCAATATTCTGAGCTTCAAGTTGACATTAAAAAATTGGAGTATTCTCCTTTCCAGGAGCCATTACACGATTCAGAAATTGCTGAACAGGGTAATGAGAAAAAAATCTATTTAGCTGTTTGTATTAAGTGCATGTTGACCTCTTAAAAATAAACAGATAAACACATTGTATTTCTTTGAATTATGCATGCTATGAAAAACTTACTAGATATTTCTGATCTGAGTTTAAAAAGAGTCAGAAAAGTAATAATAAATTTAGGTAATTTATCATTAAATTGAAAACTATTTTGATTCTTAAATTTGGAGATTAAGGATTAGGCATTTTTTGCCAGACATGGTTTTCACCATTGTTCATTCATTCTAGTCCTTTATGCACTTGTGTAGTTAATGCCTGGTTTTTCTCCCAATCATCTTATTTTCATTTAAATCTTCTGAATTTCATCCTATATTCAAATCCTACATTTGTTCTTTGGATTTGTATGTGTTGCTTTCTGAATTCCCATATTTTTTTCTTCTTTGGGGGCTTTACTTTGATAAAATGCTTTATATCCCTCATTGTTGGTCATCTTTTTACCCGCCTTTCTCTTTCAGGGCACTTGATTATTTCTCTACACTAAATGTGTAGACTTCTCTTTGCTGCTAATTTTCTCCAAGTGTAAAATTGCTTTCATTGTACAAATTCCAGTTACATTTTAC